AGGGCTGCATGATGATCTCTCATTAGTGTTCCAACAGTGCCTCTCTTTGGGTAAACTTGAACACAGCTTATCTTTTGACCTAGTAACTGGATTCCTAAAAATTTTTCTTAAAGAAATAATTAGAAAAATCTAAAAAGATGCATAAATTCAGAATTTAATCATTACATTTATAAAAGCAAAAAAGTGGAAACAACCTAAAAGTCCATTAATAGGAGTCTAAATAATGATACTCACACAATGCAATTCTATGGAGCACCTAAAATTATGAGATAGATATTTACTGATATTAAGTTATATTTGAGATGAAAATTTACAAAATTAGATTGATCTCATTTAAAAAATCCTATCTATAAATATATCTGTGTATGTAATTGGTGTATGCACACATTTAAACAAGTCTGGAAACAAATATGCTGAAATATTAGCAATAATTTCTAGGCAATAGAAATACAGGCATATATTTATAAAAATATATAGGAATATATCTTCACTCTCTTCACTTTTCTATATTTTTTTATAATGACTGTGTATTATAAGAAAAACCAAAAGCTATAAGAAAAATTTTAAGCCAAAATAAAAAATACAGCTATCTCCAAGCAGTATGAGTGAAAGATTATTAAATAGAATATCAAAAGATCTGAATTCCTGTTTTTGACTCCTGATCCTTTGCTATGGGACCTGAGCCAGATCCATGTCTCAATTTCCCCACCTATACAGTATAAGTTATTAAGATAAATTTCACAGTAGAGAACAAAGTGAGAATGAATGTTAGAAAGTCTGTAAATGTCGCACCTATAAACTAATTGCAAATTAAAAAATAAAGAGGACTTTCTCAATTTTTAAATTCCCTTTCCCTAATGTTTCCACTGCTTTTATAATTGTTACTCATGATAAAGTACTCAGGGTTTTAGCCTCAGCTAGGCTCTGAACTGTTTTCAAGTAAACATTTTCACATTGACTAGGTAAGGTGCAAGTCCAGACACTGAGAGTCACAGCAATTCAGTTAACCTAAACTGCTCCTGCCGCCTAATCTTCAGAGGTAGAATGAAATGATTCATGTCATCTCTAATTATCAAAGTATGCCTCAAATTATATTTTAAATTCATAAAGTACAGGGAATATACAGTGTGGGGCAAAAGTAGGTTTACAGTTGTGAGTATGCAAAATGGAGTTTACTCTTGTATTACTTATTAATTATTGTATTGTTTTCCATAGAACAACTGTAAGCCTACTTTGGCCTCGCCCTGTATCTTCTTTCTTTAGATCCAAGTTTGACTGTAGACAGAACTGTGACACAGGACAGAGTCCTGCTCACTTTTTCTCCCTTGCTTCATGTGGGCTCTCAGTGGCCTAATGCTCTTCCCCCTCCCCCATTCCAGCATGTGTTCAACTCAGGGAATTCAAACCCGTGTACAAATAAGAAAGTATTATCTTCTTTGCAAATGCTTTTTATTTCCTCTGTCAGGAAGGTCTTCTCCCCATTACTTGGTGTGTTCCTAAATCATATGTTGCCTTCTGATCACATAGACCAAGACAGAGTTGGGCCCGGCCTCCCCATGTTCCCAAAGCAACTCCTGAATATTTACAGCACATTTCTCGTCAGAACTCATCAGTGATAGAATTCCAAATTGTTTTTTGTCTGACTCCCATGTTGAACAATGAGCTACATGAGAGCAGGGATAACCCCAGCAATTGGCATAGTGGTAGGTATTCAAAATGATTTCTTGAATAAGTAAATAGAATGCTATTCCTGGAATAGAAATTTACAATTTTATGTAGTCCTTCACACAACACCCACATAGGGAATCACCTATCTGGCTGGCCATCTACTCTGCCAGTAGGGTCAACAGAAACTAAAGAAAAACAAGAATGAAGTATACATGAAAGGATTAGATAAACAATACCACTGAGGTAGATAATTTCGGTGACTCCAATTAAAGCAAAAAAAAAAAAAGAAAAAAAAATCTTTAAAGCCAAGTGACTAGCAAAATAAAGTATACTTCAAAGAAGTGAGAACTAATTAAAGAAAAGAAATGTGAAAAACTAATCATCACCAACAAAACACAAGAGTGCAAAAATTCTAAAAACATGTAAACTCTTAACAGATGGATTTGATTAGAGAAAGGTCAGCACTGTCTTAAGCCAAAAACACTCATGTATAACAACTGAGGGCCTACCACGAGTGACTCTGCTACTTGACTCATTTCCCACCCTGAAAGAACTTGGTATCTAGGGGAAGACAGAGATATAGACGACTACCGCGATTCAAAATATGATGTAGGCCCTGCTGGCATGGCTCAGCAGTTGAGCACTGACCTATGATGCAGGAGGTCGCAATTCAGATTCCTGGTCAGGGCACATGCCCGGGTTGTGGGCTTGATCCCCAGCAGGGGGCGTGCAGGAGGCAGCTGATCAATGACTCTCTTGGCATTGATGTTTCTATCTCTCTCTAAAATCAATAAAAAGATATAAAAAATAAATAAAAATAAAAACAAAATACAATGTAGCAGGTGCAATGATAGACATAGCACAAGCTATTTTAGGAGTAGAAAGATCTTTAGGGGTCGGTGGGTAGGAGGGAGCAAAGTTCCAGAAAGGCTTCCATAATAAGCTGATGCCTATTATGGTGATCATTTTGCAATATATATATATATATATATATATCATGTTGTACACCTGAAACTAATGTGATATCAATTATTTCTCAATGAAGAAAAACAGCATTTATTAAGCCTATATATGTCATGTACTGTGCCAGACACGCATGCACACACACACATATACATACATATATGTCCTCTTTTGTCCAATAGCAATGATTACCCCACAAGGCTGTTCTGAGGATTAAAGATGTGTGTGTAGACTCAGAAAGGTAAAGAAGTGACTTGTCTGGGGTCATGATGCTATTAAGTGATAGAATGAAAATCTGAACTCAGGTCCAGCTCACAACGCAGAGTGCTTTCTACTGAACCAGATCTATCCAAACAGCAGTATCCCTTATCCATAATATTATAATAATAGTCGCTGCTAACATTTACTAGCTCTTCTCATGCTGCAAGCACTGTGCTAAACAATTTATTGATCTTATTTAATCCTCACAACCACACTGTGAGTAGTTTTATCAAGATCTCCATTTCACAGTTGAGGAAGCGGAATTTTATGCAAGTTCAGTAATTGCTTTGTTCCCACAGCTGGTAAGGAACAGGACCAGAGTTGAACCTAATTCCAGAACCCATTTTTTTAATCACTCCTTTAGATTGCAGGAAACACACTCTAGTCCTGGCTCCAATCAGGCAAGTCATTTGATAGTTCTGTCTCAATTTCCTTGTTAATTAAATGGGGATATTGTTATTTGTCCCTACCTATTTCACAGAGATATTGGGATTATAAAATGAGAAAGTGTATAAGCTTTAAGAAGGAAAATTGCTATATAAATCTAAGCGTTGTCACAAGTTTCACTCAGATCTTCCTCTCCCACGATCATAAAGGGATTTAGCTGACATCATTAGTGCTCAAACGTCCTCTGAAGTGGGTAGTGAGTATTATTATCTCCACTTATCAAAAAGCTGACGCACAAAGAGGTGACGTAATTTGCTAGTCAGTGGCTGAGCTGGGAATAGTACCTAAGATTCTAACTCCCACTGCTTCTGTTCTTACGGCAAATCCTATTTCTGTGTTTCAAACTTAACTATAAAACAGACATGGGTGGAAATTTTCATGTCCACTTCAAAGCGCACATTAAATACTTACAGAAATTAAATTTTCTACTGCAGTGACACTAATATAATCTCTAAGGTGTTTAATCCTCACATTCTGGAGAAACTGCATAAAGAACCAAAAGGAAAAATTTTAATTTCCCAACTCCTTAGTTTTCTTAAATAACTTCTTAATCAAAGGTTATAAAACTGGGTGAGTCATTGCCTAGTTTCAACTAGTGAGTCTATAAGCTTCCCTACGGAACATTAAACCTCAATATTAAGTTGTTCCCTCACAAAAGTCAGAAAAAAGCACCAAATACATTCTCACATCATAAACACTTAATATAACTATATAATTTGACTTGGAAATTATGCAAACATACCAATCCACAATACCCTGAGCTCAAAATTCAAGTTCCAAAGTGAGCTATATAATTAAAACAAAAACAAAAGTACACATAGCACCTTTATGATCATTTTTTCTGCATAAAAATCAAAATCAGTTCTGTGCTTTCCACCCAAGCCTCGCCACAGACACACACAAACTTTAAGTAAAATAAGAAGTAGCAATGGGCCAATTCTGCCTACCATTCTGCCTTAAATAGGGAACAAGTATTCAGTCTAGTGTCCAGGTTAGTAGTTCCTCCTAATTCTTATTTTCCAGAACAACACAATGATCTTTCAATTATTACTAACTTGCTAATCACATATTTTGGAATTACCACAGTGGCCACAGAGAAAATAAGAGAAAGAAATTTCCACTCTCAAAATGGAACTTAATACCAGAGTCCACAGACATTATTACTCTCTCTGACCAAATTACATGTATAAATAAAAAACCTGTCATTTTGTTATAGGGACAAAAACTAAGTCATAGGAACCAAAGAGTTGGTCTACTAATGTCAACAGTTTGTTTCTTGAGTGGCTTGAGATGTCCAAATTCACTTTACTTCTAGCTACATAATACAAGTCCTACCACCTTAACCTGTGCTAGGAGGGAAAAGTAAATGATGACATAGTCCCGGTTTTTTTTAGAGGCTTTTTTAAAACATTAGTCCATCTTTCCTTTGAGAAAAATCTTTGTCTTTGTTTCTGTAATTGAAAACAATCATATCTTCTGTTGGGTCAGGTGTGCTAAGGTCTCTCAGACTTTAATGTATGAATCACCTGTAGATCTTGTTAAAATGCAGAATATAATTCAGAAGGTCACAAGTCCAACCAAGTCCCAGATGATGGCAATGCTACTGCTTGACGCACCACACTCTGAGTAGCAGGACTCTAAGGAATGTTTCCAAATAGAAATAATCTCAATCAGATGTTTATTGTCAAAAAAAAAAAAATACAGCCTCCTCCAAGAGTTTACAAAGGGAGATAATATTCCAGAGCCTACATGAGATATTTGCTCCCTTCCCCTTTTCTGTGATTTTTATCAGCTAGTTGTAAATCCAATGTAACACCTTATTAAAGGGCACGTCCTTGGTGCTGACAAGTTATTGGGGCTTGACTTGATTGGGGCTTGTATGAATGAACATAAAACTTCAAGCCTTCCATAATAAAAGAGTTGATTCAAAATAAATATTTTAAAATTATGTCAAATACTAATGAATAAGTGATGTTTACAAATAGCTTATAAGAGAATCATTTGAGATTAATAATTTTCACTTTCTCCCATCAAATAAATAGCTTATGTACTAAAGAAGACACCTTTCCTTAAGCAGAAAAAAGCCAACAAAAATAAAATCACGCTCTCATGGCATACTCATAATATTATTTTCAGTGAGGAAAATACCAAGATTGAGACATAAAACGTGTATGAGAATTTCATGGTATTGAATTTGTCTTAGAACCAGGGGGAAGGTCCAGGGAAAGAGAACATCTGGTAAATTTAAGAAAGATTTTAACTAGAAAAGATTACACATGAGAGCAATAGTCCATTCTCCTAAAGAAAACCAATTAACCCCACAAACTTTCAATTTTAGGTTTTCAATAATGCTTTCTCTTCGTTGTCCAACCTCCCCCGCAAAATTCAACCAACCATCATAAAAATTAAGTTGGTGACAGGTTCAGCTGGCTATATTCTATGTTTACCCTTAAGTACTTTTGAAGCCAATGAGGGTAAAAATTCATGGTGGAAAGAGCGAGAGTAAAAAAAGAATCGCTTCTCTTTGCAGGAGGAAACCCGCATCTTGAGCACTGTCCTCACTCTTCGGAGAAGGTGTCTCAGTGCTTGCGTGCACTCTTCAGCCCCATAACTGTGAAGGTAGCAGCCGTCAGTTTCTCATACACAAGGAACATGAGAGCAGCAGTGAGGACTGTCTGCAGCAGTTTGGCTTCAAGGCCTTTGTAGAGTCCCATTATTCCAAACCTCCTGAAAGGAAAGAAGTTTGAAAAAAAGAAAAGGTTTTCTTTATAAGTCAACTCCTGCATCAAATAAATAGGCTACTTTGATAGCTACTTTGCAAAGGTTTATCCTCAGGATCAAAACAAGCAATGGAAGTTTTAGGTATTAACAGAATTTTGTTGTCAAAGTACTTAATATGTATAGAGGTACTTGAGGACTGGTTAAAGTTTAGTATTCATGAGCCACCAAGCCATTGTCTTTATAATCATCATTAATTAGCGGATTGCTGACGATGTCCCAGATAGGATGCAGATCCTAAAACCATCTTAATGCCAAGATCTGAGATCTAACTAAGAATTTTTAGATCTTTAACACTCTCCCAACTCAGTTATTTCAGCGTAACAGTCCTCAAATAGTAGGAGAGCTGCAAATTGGTTTAGATAATTAAGTTACCAGATTTTCAGTTCTCAAATTTAGCGCACGTCAGAATCACCTGAAGGGCTTGTTAAACCAGACTGCTGGGTCACATCCCCCCAGTTTCTGATTTATTAAGCCTGGGATGGGACTCAAGAATTTGTATTTCTAATAAGTTCCCAGGTGAAGACCGGCCCTTTAGAACCACTGCTCTAACCACGGAGAAGACTGCTTCAGCTAGAACCAAGAGTTCCGAGTAAATGATTTCTCCACAGCTATTTGTTGAGAGTGAACTGATCTCATATGTTAGTTCATCAGCCAACTCCAGGCCTATCCACAGCATGAACACTGAGACAGTAGAGCTAATCAAGTGCTCCACGCACAAGCTATTCTGTATTTATTATATTTGCTATGTGTGAACACCTATTATTTGGGGCAAATCATGTGATAAATAGGAATGAAAAGCCTTGACCCATGAATCTCTAGTTCATTAATTAACGTGAATTATGTTCCTCCAAGAAAGTCCACTTCAGTGTTTCTCAAGGTGAGGTCTGCTATGAAATAACAAAATATGTGCATTGGTCTCTGTCCCTGGTTCCTGGCACAGAGCTCCTAAAACCCTTGTAAATTACTTGAATGATAAGAGCAACAGGGTCACCTCTTGTTCTAATATTTGGTCTTTGACCCTGGTTCCTGACAGAGTTCCTAAGTCCCTTGGAATATCCTGGGTAACTGCAGTGTCTTTTATTGTAATGAGGTGACTCTTGGTGGACTCCTGGATTTGGGGGGCGAGTTGGAGGTCATCACCAGATAGATCAAGCAATGATTAGAAGCTTGGAATTTTCAGCCCCACCTCCATCCTCCAGAGAGGGGAGAGGGCCAAACAAAGAGTTGACAGATTGTGCCCACATGATGAAGCCGCCATAAAACTCCATTGTATGGGGTTTGAAGAGCTCCCAGGTGGGTGGATGCACCCCAACTCCGTGGGCACAGAAGCTCCTGTCCTGGGACCCTCCCAGACCTCACCCTGTGCATCTCTTCATCTGGCTGTTCATCTGTATGACACACTTTAATAAACTGGTAAACATGAGTGCTTCCCTGAGATCTGTGAGATACTCTAGCAAATAATTAAATCCCAGGAGGAAGGGGTCATGGGAACCTCCGATACTCGGCCAAGTTGGAGAGAAGTTATGGTAACCTGGGGACTTACTACTTGCGATTAGCATCTGAAGTCTCATGGGACTGAAACCTTAACCAGTGAGATCTGATACCACCTCTGGGTGGATAGTGTCAGCATTGAGCTAAATTGTAGGACACCCAGCTGGTGTCATGCATAACATTGCTTGGTGTGAGAAAACCCCACACACATTTGGTGACCAGAGTGTCAGAGTGAAGTGTTCTGTGTGAGTAGTACAGGAGAGATATCCAGGTGTAGTGCAGATTTTCTTTATATCCACTCTCATCAGAATCACCAAGCCTTGTTTAGAAACAAAGATTGCAAGACCTTGTTCCAGGGGGAGGCAGGAATCTATATTTTAACAAGCACTTCAGGTGATTCTTAATCAATCAAAAGTCTGGAGAGGCCAGGCATGTTACAGTGCACTGTCCAATATGGTAGCTACTAACCACATGTGGCAATTAAAATTAATTTTAAAAATTCAGTTTCTCGGATGCACTGGCCATATATCAAGTGCTCAACAGCCACATGTAGTTAGCGGCAACCCTACTGGACAAGGGCAGACATTTCCATCATCATAGATGGAATGCTCTTCATTCATCCAATAGTTCTTGCGTGCTTAATGAGCACCTGAGTTTGAACACCTGGCTCTGCCTTCATCCGTCTGGTGTTGGGCAAATCACTTTCCTTCTCTAACCCTGTTTTCTGATCTGCAACAATGGGAATACAGTCACCCTTCCACACGCACAAGGCTGAGGGAGAACCAAACAAGATAAAAGACATGAAAACACACTGGATTTGAAAATTTACCTAACCCTATTGATTTCTGGTTAACACGACCTTCATAACGTTCTTGTTAATGATATTGTTCTTAACTCCCACAATGCTGGTAGAAATGGATATTGGTGTCACTTTTTAGGGTAAACATGGCAATGCTTATCAAAATTTTCTATGTTCAAACTCTTTAAACCAGGTAATTCCACTTCAAGGAATTTTCTCTGTAATTATAATCACTCAGGTGTACAAAGCTAAATTTATGGGCTATTTATTCAGCAATGTTTGTAAAGGCAAAAATCTGGGGGGAAAAACTATCCATCAATAAGTGTATTGGTCAATAAATTATGGTACATTATGTAACAGAAAACTAAGTTGTCACTATTAAAAAATAAGATAAATTTATAGATATTGATGTGAAGGGTTGTTTGTGATATTAAATTTATAAAAAGGCAAGTTGCAAAACAGTATTACCACCTGATCCAACTTACATAAAAATGAACACCCAAAATATATGTTTTATATAATATTCTGGGAATATATACCCTATATACTCTTTTTAAAAGAGGAAGGGAGAGGGAGAGAGAGTTGAAACATCAATGATGAGAGAGTCATTGATCGGCTGCCTCCCACCTGCCCCCGACTCGGGATCGAGCCCGCAACCCCAGCATGTGCCCTGATTGGGAATCGAACCTCGATCTCCTGGATCCTAGGTCGATGCTCAACCGCTGAGCCACCGGCTGGGCACCCTATATACTCTTAACTGTTAACAGTGACTACCTCTCAGAAAAGGGAGAGGAAAGAGAGAAAAGAGCAAGTGTACATGTATTTACAGCTTTATTGAAGTTTAACTGACTTCAGTCTGATAAGTTTTGACTGATGTTCAGACCCACGAAAACCATCACTGCATTCAAGATTGTGAACATATCATCACCCCCAAAAGTTTCCTCACATCCCTTTGTAATCATTCCCTCCCTCCTACCCTGGATCCAGGTAACTACAGATCTGCTTTCTGTCACTACAGATTATTTGCATTTTCTAAGTTTTATATAAGTGAAATCATGCCTGACTTCTTTCACTTGGCATAATTATTTTGAGATTCATCCATGTTGTTGCATGAATCAACAATTCCTTCTTTTTTATTTCTCAGTAGTATGCCATTCTATAGCGATATCACAATTTAAGTATCTATTCACCCAACATTTGAGTTGTTTCCAGTTTTTGACTCTTACGAGTAAAGCTGCTATGAACATTTGTGTACAAGTTTTTGTGCAGATATATTTCATGTCTCTCGTGAAAATACCTTGAAGCAGAATGGCTGGGTCCTATGGGAAGTGTGTATAACTTTTTACAAAAGTGTCAAGCTGCTCTCCGAGGTGAGTGTGCCATCTACATTCCTACCAGCAACATACGAAAGTCCTGGTTGCTCCACATTCTTGCCAGCACATGGGATAGTGAGCATTCAGTTCTTTACTTTATACCAATTGTGTATCTTTGATTTTATTTTTTATCCCAAGCATGTTCTATTTTTATAATAAATTTATTTATCTTCAAATATCTTACACCTAGGACCAGTAATATAGCAGTTTTGGCTTCAAAGGAGGTCCCTGCCTTATTTGCTGTCCCTAAGGATCAGTTTCTCTAAATGAAACAGGGAAATGACTAAAGTACATGCCTCACAGGACTATTGTTGGGATTAAGTGAGACTGCCCACATAAAGTGTCAAGCTCAGTGTCTGCCACAAAGCAAACACTCAAACATGGTAATTCCTCTTATCATCATCATTACTGCCGTCATCATCATCGGTATTACTCCTCCTACTCCCTGCTTCCTTCCTCACTATGACCACTGCTCTATCATATCTGCTTATTTCTATCTATGAGAGAGATCACAGGGTATGCCATTGACAGAAGCACCACTCAGGCAGAACGGTCTCTGTGTTAGATTTGGGAGGGTTCCCGTTCTAAAGGAGTTCTGAATATTTGTAACTAACAAAGAATAAGGACCTGACCTCTTCCCTAACTTCCCAAAGTACTGTCATACTGCACCAAGGCCCTAAAATGAAAACTGTCTGAGCACAGTATCCAAGGCAGAGGCTTCCAGCTCCCGCGGTCAAGGCAGTAGTGCAAGGTAAGCAAACCCAACCGCTCCCTGGCACAGGGGCCGCTGAAAGAGGAGAGAACGCGAAGCATCTACGAAGCTCACCGTACGCGCTGGTGAAGGAGATAGAGAACATTGCGGAGGCTCCCCAGTGTTCTGTTTTCTGGGTTGAGCCTGTGACGTCCAAACTGGGGAAGAAGAATAAAAACGGTTTAGTACTGCTTTCTCTATCTTAGTTTCTACCTTCAGGGGAAATTCTGTTGGGAGTGATGTCTTAAACCTTACAGTAATCCAAATATCCAATTAGTATGTACATTTCATTAATCCTCTATTTTCAATGAAATATTTCAATTAAATGAGTGAAAATAAGAAACATGTTTCCATGAAGCAAGCACAAGAATTTTCACTTTACAGAGAATTGTGGGGAAAATTCTACCTCAAAAGAAAAAAAGACATGCCCACGATGAAGATACAGATTTTGACGGTATGTATGGCTTAATTTCCAGTCCTTTAAGAAGTTCTGATAAATGCTAATCAATTAGAACTACTACAGTGTAAACGCTTCACACTATCTGTTTACATTATAAAAGTGTCAAAATACATTATCTGAATGCTACTGAATTCCTTTATTTTAAGTGCCAAGTTTTAAATAACACATTAGTAAAAATACTTTTAAGAGAAGGTAACAATGTTTTGAACTGACATACTCTCATTGCTACCCCTGTTTTATGCATCAATGAGTCCTTTGAATTTCTTTCTCCAAAACAGATCATAACGTTTTCCATGTCTCCTCTCTCCTCTCCACTGCTACCACTTTACTCTAGGCCACCATCACCTCTCACCTGTATACTGAAATGGCCTACCTGATTCCCCACCCCCTTTCTCTTAGCCTCTGATCAATACATCACAATAGCCTCGCTAATCTAGAATTGTAAATCAAACCACATTACTCCCTAGTGTAAAACCCTTCAAAGGCTTCCCATGAATTGAGAGTAAACTCTAGACCTTTCCTGCTACTTTTCCAATCTCATCCTGAGCCATTCTCCAGCCACATTGCCCTCCTTTCAGTTCCTAGGATTTGCCAAGCTCTTAGCACATCATGATCTCTCTGCCTAGAATGCTCTTCCCACAGCTGGGTCCTTCCCTCCCTTTAAGTCTTGATTTATATATGCCTCCTCTGAGGAGCCCACCCCCAGCCACCCTATCTAAGAAGATCCCCATCAAGCACCCCTCCACTAAGTCACAGAATGCGGCTTCCTTCCTTCATCGGAGCTATCTTCTTAGTCTGTAATTACCTATTTTGCTTATCTATCTGTTCGTTCTCTCCTCAATTACCTCCATGAAGGTAGGGATTATGATTACTTTATTCACCATGTGTACCCAGTTCTTCACACAGAGTGGGCACTTAACAATCATTTCAATGAATAACCCAGAAATTTTAAAGTGTTCCAAAACAGCAAAATCATTAGCTCTTTTTCTTCAGCGAGGCGTCGGAGCAGCCTCCCCAGCAGACGCAGAGATGCAGATCTTTGCAAAGACCCTGACTGGCAAGACTATCACCCTTGAGGTTGAGCCCAGTGACCCCACTGAGAATGTCAAAGCTAAAATCCAAGAGAAGGAGGGCATCCTGCCTAACCAGCAGTGTCTGATTTTTGCAGGCAGACAGCTAGAGAATGGCCACACTCTCTCAGACTACAATATCCACCCTGCACTTGACACTGTCTGAGGGGTGGCATCACTGAACCCTCCCTCCGCCAGCTCGTCCAAAAGTACAATTGCAACAAGATGATCTGCCCCAAGTGTTACCGCTGCCTGCACCCCTATGCTGTCAACTGCCTCAAGAAGAACGGCGGTGACACCAACAAGCTGTGCCCCAAGAAGAAGGTTAAATAAGGCCCCTCCGCCACCTCCTCGGGTCCACAGGGCAGCCTTTTACCTGAAGCCTGTGACCCTGGGGCCTCAATAAAGTTTCTCTTTTGTGGACAGGAAAAGTTAAAAAAAAAAAAAGCAAAACCATTAATTCCTCTAGAATAAACTAAAGGAATCAACCTCTGTTTCTGTAAAGGATAGTCTGCCCTAGGGCACCAAGCAAATTAACTTGAATGAGAAGGAAGCAAACTTATATTTTCCTGAGTCCTTTAAGAAACTTCCTCCACATGTGCGTTTTCTGAGACACTGTTACCTAAGAAATTGCAAATGTAAACTTCCTTCCAAACCAAATATGAAACCAACTGATAGGCTGGTTAGCAGAATATAAGACAAATGAAAAAATGAATGAGGAATGCGCTGGCCTACCAACTGACCTATTGCTTTATTAATATTAACATTTCTTTACATAGAGAAACCATGTATTTTAGAACGCTGTTTGACTAAATGCAGGAAGAACCCCAGCACTCACCCTCAGAATCGACTGTACTGTCTGCATGGGATAAGTGACCGTGGTGGCAATTGCTTTGGCTACTGCACCAATGATGAACACATCCAAAGAAGAAAGCTGGAAAGCAAAGAAAGATGAATCATGTCAACCCGAACAATAAGAACAGAAGATTACTGTTTGCTGCTTTCAAAGTCAGGATTACCTTCATTCGTTTCTTTAAAAGTCGTCGTTTTAAACCTTCATAGAACATGAACTGGATGGCAGGATTGAAAACCAACAGCAAGGAGGGAAATGTGCCATTCCACAAAGACAAGATTCCTTCATCTCGAATGATCTGGTGAAAAGCATCTAAGCAAGAAATCAAGGACATCTGATGACAATCCCTTAACTAAAGAAGACAAGGTGAATTCCGTTCAAATGGTTCTATCAAGATTTCCTTCTTGTAATGATATTTTAGGACAAGTTCATCAGTTAGCTACTTTTTGATAATTAAGACACTGATAGTCACCAAGTTATTGAGAGAGAACTTCAATCATAGGGAACTCCTGACAATCTGGGGTCAGAATGTCAAGTTTTCCTAAGTGATCACCACCACTGGGAACTCTGTATCATAGAGAACTGTGACTTGATAGCCCACATGTTTCACAACAAAGGCCCGTAAAACAGATAAGATGACAGTTGCTTCGAGTCCATTTTATAGGACTGACTTACAAGAAAACCACTGTTCTCATTACAAACACAGGAAAGAGGAACCTGGCAGAGCGATACTATTAAAAAGCAGAAGCTCATAGATACAAGACATTAATCTGGTATCTCTAGCCAAAGATAACACTAGAATAAAAAAAGTATAGTAGATTCTTCTTCAGCTATATCCACACCCTCCCACCCACACTCCATGGTAGCAGTTACTTCTCTACCCCTTGTCTTTGGGCTTGGCCATGTGATATGCTTTGGCCAACAGGATGTTAGCAGTCAAGATTCAAAAAGGGGCTCAAAATATGCTGTGTCCTCTTGCGTGTCACCATCACCAAGAGAAGGATATGCTCAAGCAGGTGCCAGGAAGATGATGAGACCCGTGGAGCTGAGACTCCCAGGCTGGGGTCAGCTTAGATGAGTCAAATCCCTGTCAATTCACAGACATGTGATCTAAACAAATGCTTACTATTGGATGTTGAGATTTGAGGTTGTATGTCATATAGCATTACTGTGGCAATAAATTCCAGATACAAAGAAAAAAGAAAATCCTTCAATAGAAACTCACCCAGAGACACTTACCAATAATACCTTTATAGTTGGTTGGTACAATGTCTTCATTCCTAAATTTTGCCCCTTGCAGCTTCAGTCTGGTGTTTACCACCCAGAGTGGAGTTGTCAGCAACACATTCACCACTCCTTTAAAAAGGAAGGGGCAAAGACAAAGCAAAATGTAACCTATTAAGCTTTGCTGTCTTATATTAAAGCTACACACCAATGTTTCATTTATTCTTCTGCCACTGTCCTCCTGGGCCACCTAAGGTAAGGTGCCTCTTTGTGCCAGGGTGCAACACAAGCCACGACTGTTAGAAGCAATTCAGAAGCCTTGCTGATAGCAAAATGGCTGGCAGTAGTACCTTTCCACATGAAAAGAGTAATAAGTTTCCTTATTTGTATAATAGGAGGCAATCTATTTGTCAACTTATATAGATTCCAAAGTAGCAATTCTGACATAGTTTTAAATACAAATTTTCAAAAACAGCTTTAAGAGACAAGTGGTTTATTGATCACATGCTAAGTGCATGACAACATCATATAAAACACACAATTTACAACTCTCCCATAAGTAGCTCACATGGTTTTAAGTGAGTTGGATCTAGTATAATGGGTGACAAGTGGGAGAAAGTGGTGACACTGGAAAGTGCTTCAACAAGGGACTAGATGATTACACAAGAGTTCCTTATCACTTAGGAAATTAGGACAGGCAGGCAGCAAGCAGTAGTTATGAACTGTCACAAAACACCTGAAAGAGCTCTGCAAGCATCATGATCCTTACAAGCTTAAGGATGGGGATCTTGGCCCCCCCAAGGTTGCCTCAGAGTGGAACAACACAATGAGTCAGGTGCTTCTTTTTGAAAACACATGATCCCAATTTAACACCATCTTGAGATATTAATATATTCCTCATCAGTCCTGAAATGATTTAAAAAACAAACAAACCAGACAGAGTTGTAACAGAGTGCCTGACACACAGTATATACTTTATAAATATTTGTTAAATAAATATTGAACAAATGAACCAATGAACAAACTCAGCAACCATACATGGAACTATCTGGCTCTAGCCACACTGTGAAGAACCAAGAGGTGCAATCCTAAGGAAGAGAAAGAATGTTTTGATTTAAGGAATCTCAAAACATGCCAGGTATACAGAAAACCCATGTTCTATTCAAGAATAAGCCTATGCAACAGCCAAGAGGTTAAAACTGTTTTCATCTGTCACATACAGAGCAAAAGTAAAATATTTTTCTACCTCTCTCTCAGAAACATTATGAGGACACATTTCTTAAAATAAAAGACATTATCACATAATTTTATGAGATGTATTTGTTGTATTTTTATAGACTCACATAGCACCAGGGAGTCACTGTTAGTTAGGACTCAATATATTCATACACTGTCACTTGAGGCATTGGTCATAATCTCGATTAAGTCTTACCTAGACGTGCCTGCTGGTCTCATTTTTAAAAAGCACCAGTGCCCAAGAGGCCAAGATAGAAAAATATCAATACATGTCTATTTGCCCAGACTTTATAATGTATCCCTATTCAATGCACTGTACACATCACTTAACAGAAAAGTCAATAGCCAGAAAAACCAGGCTAAAAAGTGCTACTGAGGAGACTACATTTTTTTTTTTTTTTTAAGATGAAGACAGGAGATCAGAACCAGAGATGACAAGCCATGAATACTTGCCAGGCACAATGTACATACCTTTCTAAACAAATGAAATAGGTTGCCCATTAAATAAATTCTTTAGAAATCAAAATTTCCTTCATGTTCTATTCAAGAGGTAGGCAGACATAAAACATGTCAGAGGCAATGCAGCCAAGATTAAGATTTAACCATTACTTAAAATTCTGTTTTCATATCCCCTTTATTACCATGAGTTGAAAGACTGCAAGGATACTAAGGACAATCTCAAGTACAAAAATGCACTACATCATTTAAAGAGAATATAAAGTCCTTGTAAGAACATTTTGTATTTCAGAGCTTTTTATCCGAGAAGTTCAAGTACTCTATTCATCCTCTAAGCCAAAATAGATAGAGGTATTTTTTAAACACTATTAATTTTATGAGTTCTGGGAAAAGACACTCAAAATACTTGAGGATCCAAAACTTTGCTAGAAACTTACAACCTATGTTACCAAGCAAAGGACAACATTTCATGTTGGAAAAACAACTATAAATGGTCATGATGAGCGATTCCAGCTCTTACTAGCGCACAACAGGTAAGGCTGAAGGGATAAAGAACACCGTCCGCTTATTTATGAACCTGTACAGAAAACTCTTTTTCTAGTTCCAAGCTGTGGTTGTCACTTCAGCTCTAAGATGCGAATACTAATACTTTACCTACTTCATGACAGGAGACTGATTTTCTCCCAATTCAAATACTTCTATATTCTTTCTTTTCTTTTTTGGTAAAAAAATCATTTACAGGAAAACAGAACCAAAATTAAGAGATAAAAAACAGTAAAACTGAACCCACTCACTAAAGTTATTCACCAATTCAAGGAATAATTGGAACACAGCTATTTACTTGTGAAATCTTCAAAATGAATAGTTTATCAGCAGCAAGTCTCCTTGGGTAAGGAGAGAAAACAAAAATGAAGTATGCTAATTGGCTGCGCACTTGTGGGAAATATGCACACCAACCACTGATACAAGAAAATGGCAGATCAAGGCCATAAATCTAACCATTTGTCTCTCTACAAAGAATGCAACTAGATGCACAAAAGGAACAAATCTGCCTTACCAGAGGTACGGTTGGAGGGCAGGAAACAAATATGAACTGTCACAACAATGGTAACACCATTGGCATTCAAAAGGAGTTATTTGTAAAAATCCCCATTTCATTAAAATGGTTTCTTCTTCATTTAAGTTATCTGTAAGGTTCTTTCCCCAAGTTTTCCCCAGGTTATCAAGCTATATGGGTTTTCTTCTGTGAAAATAAATAATTTAATTAAATTTCTAAGTTTCAAGCAGAATTTCAATATAGGGGTGGGCAAAAGTAGGTTTACAGATGCTTGCGTTAAAAAAGACATGAAGGTTATAATTATAATACAAGAATAAACTCTGTTTCATGTACCCACAACTGTAAACTTACTTTTGTCCACCCCTGTACAGTTCCTAGTTTTCCTTGGAAATAATGAAACTCATTCTACAGTGATTATAATAAAAACAGGACTCACAGAAGGAAGACAAAGCTAATTCTAATTATTGTAAGAATGCAAAGGTATTAAGATATAAAAACATGTTCTAAGGAGAAGTTTAAAACTCACAAAAGAAAGTTCCAAGAGTACCTTTGGAAATTCATTTGACCAAGGGTCTGAACTGTGACACTACTGACATTTTTGGATAGGTGATTCTTTATTTGGGTGTGTGTGAGGGGTGCTACTGTGTAGGATGGTTAGCAGTATCCCTGGTCTCTGCCAGCTAAATGCCAGCAGCATCCTCTAGTTGTGACAACCAAAAACTATCTCCAGACATTTGCCATATGTTCCCTGTGGGTCAAATCAGCCTCAGTTGAGAACCACTGTTCCAATCCAATCGCCAAGTGATTATTCACTTTATTTTTGAAAGTTTCAAAAAACAGAAATTCACTCTCATCCCAATGATCTATTTCTTCCAAACGCTGTTAGAAATTTTATTTTTATGGATATTACATCTATCTTCTTAGCTAGTAAAGGATTTTTACCTGAGGTATGAATTAGCAACTCTGAAATGACTTTATGAGTATTGTGATCCAGGCCCAATTCCTTTGGGTAATATAGAGCAAGTAGGGTCCCTCTTCCACAAGTCATTCATTCATGGTCTGCTCATCAAATATATATTGTGTGTCCACTATGCGATCAACCCTGTTCTAGGTGCTGACGATACAGCGGTAAATAAAAATAAAATCCCTGTCCTCGTGAAGCTTACGTTCTAATGGTGTAATGAGATAAGATAAATAAGTAAAATATGTAAGCTGTTAGAGGACAAGAGCTATGGAGAAAATTTAAGCAGATTATTGGGATGTCTATTTTGGGCACTGTGGCCATTTAGGGGAAAGATCTTCAAGGAGGTGAGGGAGTGAGCTGGGCAGAGGAAATAGCAGATACACAGGCCCCGGGGCAGAAGCATGCCAGTGTGAAGTGGCCAGTGTGGCTACAGCGGTGTGACTGAAAAGGAGACTAGGAGGCCCAGGTCATACAGAGCTTTATAGGGCAAGGTAAGGACTGGTGGCTTTTACTCCGAGCAGGATGGGAAGCAAATGGAGGGCTTTGAGAAATAAAATGATCTTGCTTATGTTTTAACATGATCACACTGGCTGTGGTGTTGAATTCAGATTGAAGGGGACAAAATAGGAAGCAGGACATCAGTTAGGAGGCTCTGAGGATAACCCAGTCACGATTTTATGGCGGTTTGGACTCAGGTCAAAGTGGAAACAAGTAGCTGCACTGCATACATATGAAGAAAGAGGCCACAGGATTCGCTCATAGGCTGGAGGTGGGGTCAGAGAGGGAGGACAGATTCAAGATTTTTGGCAGGGCAGCTAGAAGACTAGAGTTGCCACTTAGTAAAATGCAGACTACAGGAGGAGCAGGCCCTTAAATTTCATTCATTCGTTCAACAATTAATCAGTACCTTCCACGTACTGGGCACTGTATTAAAACACCAGGGATGCAGAGATAACAAAAGTGTAATCTCTACCTTTAAGCGGCTCAAGGCCTAGTAAAAGATAAAGACAAAAGTGCAGACTATGATTATACAGTGGAGCAAGCACTGAGACAGAGGCATCTACGATGTTGGCGCACAAAAAATGGGCACCTAATCCAGAATGAAACCTGGGGGTGGTAGAGAAATCTTCAGAGAAGGCTTCTTGAAAAGTAAGTAGCTTGAACTAAAAATAAAAGGATGAATAAATAGGAGTTAATATGATGAAAAAAGCAGTAAGACTGTATCAGACAGACAATGAAGTACTCAATCGGACAACAGCGGCAATAGAGGAATGGAGTTACTAAGTAGCTTGGTATATTCAAGGAATCACAGTTTGGCATGGAGATGGGAACAGCTAGAGAGGTAAGCAGCACCACAACAGTTCTTACATGTTAGGCTCTTATCCCAGACATGGTGGGGACCTTGTATACTGAGGATGCCATATCTTTATTCTGTATGCAGGTGACAGACACTGAGGGTTTTGAAGTCGGGGAAAAGACAATCAGATTTGGGTTTCAGAACAGCAGTTCTCAGCCATCAATCTGACAAGACATGTAACAGATGATACTCGCAACTGACACTGAACAATCAGCTCTCCCTGCATGTCTACCCTGACTCCACTCTTTTTCTCAAGAAAACATTTCAGAATGTAAGTAAATTAGAATGGTATTATTACATTGGAATCACTTTTAACCAGGTCTATATAATGGACTCACTAGATAAATCTGTGTTTCTCCTTCCCTTTAAAAGATACTGACAGATGTCCATGAATACCCGTGGCCACTCTCTGGTATGCCCATGCTTATCAACTTCCATCCCACTGGGTTTTATGCTTACCAAGAGTGAATTATGTCTTTTCTCAAACCTGCTTATGTCAGTTGTATCTGTTAGTGCAGGCAAAGAATTATAGGTACAGGTTATATAAGAAATAAAAGCACAAAACTCCCATCAGTGAACCAATATGCCTTGGCCATACATTAAAAGATTGAAATAGCCTAACCGGCATGGCTCAGTGGATGAGTGTCCATCTCTTAACCAGGAAGTCATAGTTTGATTTCTGGTCAGGGCACATGTCCGGGTTGTGCACTCAATCCCCAGTAGGGGACGTGCAGGAGGCAGCTGATCAATGACTCTCTCTCATCATTGAGGTTTCTATCTCTCTCTCCCTCTCCTTTCCTCTCTCTGAAATCAATAAAAACATATATTTTTTAAAAAGATTGAAATAGTATATTCATACATCTTAAATTAAAACACCCAAGGTAAGTAGGGAATTTACAATATTCCTTACATAACTGACTTTTTAAAACTAATTGCCTTACTATACCAATCTAGTTTGTGTCAGGTATGGAGGAATCTACCTTAATTATAAGTTGTGTAAGAGTTAGAAAGGAAAGAAGCAAAGCATAATGGGATGTCAGATACACAAACAAACAGCTTTGGACAATTAAAAAGGAAAATATCTCATCATATATTTCATGAATTAGTAGTTTCACTGAAAGTTATGAGTGAGCCCTGAACAGTGAGCCAGAACCTTTTAAATGTAAATACATATACACTACAGTAATCTGAAATGCATTAAAATCAAGATAATACAAAAACTTGGTCTCAATCATAAAAATCAGACTGGATTGTTGTTTATTGCAATTATATAAAAAAGAAGGTTCCCTCTGTACAGGATAACCTTGGATCTATTCTAATATTTTTTTTCCCAAGTGAACAAATCTCAAACTTGAGTTCTTTGAGTTCTGACACTGTTTGAAAACTAGTGAGGAAGACCTCAGAGACAAGGAGATCAGAACAGAGCAATGGTCCACCATCAGTGAGAGATGGTGATGGTTGATTTGAGGAAATGGTGCTCTCTCTCTCTCGCTCTCTCTCTCTCTCAAATCAATGGAAAAATATCTTCAGGTGAGGAGTAACAAAAAAAGGGAAAAAACAACTTTTGAGCACTAAAGGATATAATCAACAGAGTGCAAGACAGCCTATAAAATGGGATAAAATATCTGCAAATCATATATCTGATAAGGGGCTAATATCCAGAATATATAAGGAATACCTACAGCTCAACAATAAAAAAATCAAATAACTCGATTTACAAAAGGCCAAAAAACAAATGAAAAGATGCTCAACACTGCTAATCATCAGAGAAGTGAAAATCAAAACCACAGTGAAATATCACCTTACATTCATTAGGATGACAACTATAAAACAAACAAACAAACAGAAAATAACAAGTGTTGGCGAGGATGTGGAGAAACTGGAATGCCGGTGCACTGATGGTGGGATTATAAAATGGCACAAGTGCTGTGGAAATCAGTATGGTGGTTCCTCGAAAAATTTAAAAAAGATCTACCACATGACCCAGCAATCTCACTTCTGGGTAAACATCCAAAAGAATTGAAAGCAGGGACTCGAAGAGATACTTGCACAACTCAAGTTCATATCAGCAACTATTCACAGTAGCCAAGAGGTGGAAACAACCTAAATGCCCATCAATAGATGAATGGGTAAACAAAATGTGGTATATATATATACAACAGAATATTATTCAGCCTTAAAAAGGAAGGAAATCTTGTTATATTCTATAAAATGAATGAACCTTGAGGACATTATGCTGAGTGAAATAAGCCAATCACAAAAATACAAATACTATATGATTCCACTTATATGAGGCATCTAAAGTAGTCAAATTCATAGAAACAGAAAGTAGAATGGTAGTTTCCAGGGGTTAGGGGAAGGGGGAAAAGGGAGTTGTTATTTAATGGTCTAGTGTTTCACATTATAAGATGACAATGTTCTGGAGATCTGTTTCACACCAATGTGTATAAACTTACTACTGAAGTATACACTTAAAAATTGTTAAGATGGTAAATTTTATGTGTTTTTAACACACACACACACACAGCCAAGTCAGAAAACTAATTATATTCTTTGTAGCATAACTATGTGCTAAAATAACCTCATAAAGGTTATGCGGACAAGGTAAGTGTTAACATATAAAAATATTTCATACTCAGAAAACTTTGTTACCTGCAACAAATCCAACTACCAGATCTTTTCCAGTGGTAGAACGTTGACCTTTGACCCAGACTGCTTTGAGGCTATTAAAAGTGTAGAAATAGACAAAATTGGAGCAGCAGAGACTGGAGATAACTGGAAACCATCCTCGATATGGGGCCAGGCTAGGGAAAAAACAATAAGCAAAGTAAAGATTATGGACAAAATCCACTAGAAATAGGCAAAGTCCTAGGAAACGTTGATCATCACTCACATATTCTCAAAGCTCACTCCTATACAACGTACTCCACACTGCGCACATCTGACATTCTGAAGGATGCCCAAACCAAGAAACCTTTTCTAGCACTAATGACACCGAAGAAACAATACACAATCAATAGCTGATTTACTGCTTTCCTTTAGTAAATTATTATGGAAAATTAAAGACAATTTCCTCGTGGCTGTTAGCTAATACAGCATCATTCACATTTTACTACAGGGCAAGAATATTTAAAATAAATATAGAACGTAAGTGAAAAAGAAGTGATGGGGGCATATTATAAGAGCATAGGAATCAGACTAAGAGGTTCCGACTGGCCAAACCTAGAACAATTTGAGCATTAAAATAATAAAGTAATCAACTGTAAAGAAATCAAATGTAAATCTCTGGAAAAACAGAAATTTTTGAGTCTATACTGATACTAAATAAGGTAACTCCTTATAGACTACTTATAGTTGCAACAGAGGGAAAATAAAATTATTCAGTGGCTAACTCGAATCTAAAAAATCATGATTAATCAATGAAGGGCAGGTGGACAATATGTGACTCCAGATGTGACACCCTGAGAAGGACACGATATCACCTATGCATTCTTCTGGCCCAGAATACACAGCCTCATTTAATCATGAAGGAGCATGAGGAAAACTTAAAATGAGAAACATTTTTATTTTTTAAAAACCGGAGGAGAACTGACTATACTCTTTAAAAATGTCAATGTCAGCCCTGGCTGGTACGGCTCAGTTGGCTGAGAGTTGTCCTGTGCACTGAAAGGTCAAAGATTTGATTACCGATCAGGGCACATGCCCAGGTTGCAGACTCTATACCCAGTAGGGGTGCGTGCTTCTCTCTCTCTCTCCCCCTCTCCCTTACTCTTTCTTTAAAAATCAATAAAAACATATTTAAAAAAAATTTTTTTTTAATGTCAATGTCATAGGGGCAAAGGGCTTTGATGTATGGTACGAAACTTATTCTCAAATAATTTGGAAAAAATTTGTGTGTGGGGTATGTGTGGTGTATGTGTAATAAAGAAAGAAGGGGAGGGAGAGAGGAAGGGAGGGAGAATGCATGAGCAAATGACAAAACAAATGAAAAAAAGTGCTAACTACTGGTGAACCTGGGTAAAGCATATAGTGGTATTCGTTGTACTCTTTTTAGTTTTGCAACCTTTTTAAATTTGAAATTATTTCCAAATAAGAAGTTAAAAAAAGTACATCATCTGTCTGAATGAATCTGAACTAAACAACTACTACGTTCTTCGGTTTACTGTTCATAAAACAAAACATTGGTTTCATGGAAGACTCTACAATCAAGAATCAAAATGGTGAACCACAGAACTTGAAGGAAAGGACAATACCTATGTACTTACAAGTCGGGCAATTACAAAGTCACACCACTGTAAGGTTATGAGAATGGACAGAAAGGAGTGCAGGCCGTGAATCTACTATGAGGCTGCTCTGGCTAACAGAGATGAACACAGAAGTACTCACAGGCCTTCTTCTTTAATGATCTCCAGGAGCACCATGTGTGTAGTTTTGGACTTTCTTTTCTCGTCAACTACAAGAAGAAAAGAGTATCTGTTATTCGTGAACCATAGTATTTTAATTCGATACCTAATATTCAAAGACGTGACAAGAGAAATTTATTTCTTATGTTCATAAGGCTCTCTTGTTGTTTTTCCTCAAAGTTACATATTCTCATTTTTATCTAAACATCTTATAAAGTAGAAAGGAAATCAACTACCATCTTCCTTTTAGAGAAGAGGCTGCAGACACAAAAGCTGTGAAGGACACGTCATTGATAGCAGTCAGAATTAAAACTCAAGCTCCCAAAGTTTTAGTCTTGTGCTCTGTTTCCTGTTCTAAAAAATAAAGTCTCAAAAGGATGAGAATTCTACTTTTCTTGGCATTCTTACTGAAAACAAACCCACCTTAATTAACTTCAAATTTCATGCCCACACTTAAAGAATATTTTGAAAATATAAAAATGAAGAAAGGAACCAATTTCTTAAGAATTAAATTGGTACTTATATGGCTTGTAAGATGGCAAATTAGGAAACCTATATAGAAGGAAATCTGGCAATAGCTATCAAAATTACAAACACATTTACCCTTTGATCCAGCAATCCCACGTCTGAGAATTTATCCCATAGAACTTACAGAAACAAAGCGGCACATGAACAAGTCTATTCTACAAAAGAGAAGAAACAACCCAAGATTCTCCAATAGGGGGAGGGTAAACAAGTTATGGTGCATCCACACCATGGAACATTCTACAGCTAGAAGGAAGGAAGAACAGGCACCCAAAGCACTGATTTGGAAGGCATCCAGAACATGCTGTTAAGTGAAAAACGCAAGATAGAGAACAATGTGAAAAGTATGCTTTCTGCGTAAGGGACAAAAGAATATATATTCTTATTTGCTTGCTACTCTATAATGAAACTCTGCAAAACTATTTAAGAAACTAATAAGGACATTATCTGCAGGGAAGAAAAAAGGGGAAAAGGGGCAGACCAGAGCAAGATTTTTCACTGTACTGTATATATATTTTTTATATATTTTGTTTTTTGAGTTGAGTCACATGAAACTATCACCTATCCTAAAACTCTAAAATTAATTTTAATGGAACAGAACAGAGACCCCAGAAATAGACCAACGCCATTATGGTCAGTTAATATTTGACAAAGGAGGCAAGAGTATCCAATGGAATAAAGATAGTCTCTTCAATAAGTGCTGTGAAAATTGGACAGATACATGCAAAAAAATGAAACTAGACCACCAACTTTCACCATACACAAAAATAAACTCAAGAACGATAAAAGACTTAAATGTAAGTCATGAAACCATAAAAATCCTGGAAGAAAACACAGGCAGTAAAGTCACAGACATCCCACGTAGTGGAATTTTCACTGATACATCTCCTAGGGCAAGAGAAACAAAAGAAAAAATAAATATATGGGACTACATCAAACTAAAAAGCTTCTGCACAGCAAAAGAAAACAGCCTCAAAATACAAAGGAACCCCACAGTCTGGGAAAACATATTTGCCAAGGATNGCATACTACCCAGTAAGAGGAAGACAAATAACCCAATTAAGAAATGGGCAAAGGATCTGAATAGACACTTCTCCAAAGAGGACATACAGATGGCCAAGAGACA